TTTTTTTTTTTTTTTATTAAAATGGTCACAAGGTAAATTGTTTTGGGGTTCTTATTTTTTGGAGTTCTTCCTGTTGAGCTTGGTACTGATACTATAGCAGGTTTCTTGCGATAAACCGTATGTTAACATATGGCTGCTGGGAGTAGGCTTCCATATGCTAAGAGGCAGGTGATGCCAAATGATAAACCTAGGTATCTTAGAATTTTAGTTTTGCTGACATGGAGTGACAAAGAAGGGAGGTGTAGCTTTGGTAGTAGGTAGGTATTATAGGACTGCTGTAGAGAATAGCCCAGGTGGATCTAACTTGTCTTACCCCATGACCCAACTCTACCACATCCCAGAAGCATGTCTATGGGAACCAGTCATTGACCTCTCAGTGCCTAATTTCCTCAATGTAAAATACGGAGTTATTATGAAGATGAGTTAAAATTTGCAAAAATGCTTATAGTAGTGCCTGATGTATAATAAATATAGGCTGTAAGATGATGTGAATTTTTCAGAAAAGTGCCGTGATGTGGGGCGAAGTCTCCCTTGTATGTCTGGTAGCCTTTGCCGGCCTCTTGTCTGCTTGTGTGACCACTTTGTGATTAGACCCAGGCAGCAAGCACTGGGGGAGCTGGAGAAAGGCTGTCTGATAAATATGCACCTGATTTTTGTCTTATATACCTGATGGTTATTTGTATGGACAGAGCATCTTCACACTGGAAGCCTATGCAGAAAAGAATACGTGTATTTTGCTCAGGCCTGCTCATCAGTTATCAATTTCGTTCTTTCCAAGTCCCTAGCCAGCTAGCCAACCTGTTTGCTGGTAGACTTCACTTCCATCCTTGTCTTTCAGGCCTGCCCTCCCCTGAGAGGGTAACAGGAAAGGGCAGTCTCAAGTGAGCAGGTATGGGCATGCGGTAGGTCCATTGGTGGCATAGGCCTGTGCTGTGTTCCATCTCTGCTATTCATAGAGGAAACCCATGAGTCCACAAGTGTGGTCAAGGGAGAAACAGTGATTAAATTAAGTTGGAGAGGAACTATGGGAGGCACTTGCTTAGGACGTTTTCTTGGCTACTTCTGGACACAGTGTGTAAGCTCAGTCAAGTTATAATAATTTGAGAACAGTTTATTTACAAGGATGCCCCTCTTCCCATGCTTATGTAAATAGTCTCCTTGTAAATAGTATTAACAAAACTGGAACCATCATGAAACAAAAGGAGAAGTGAACAGAACCCAGAAGAAGTATAGTTTCAGAGTAGCTGTTTACTCCCAAAAGATCTTCTTGCACAAGGTGTTATCGCCACAGGAACCAGGGGCATGACTCCTTGTGACTTCCTGCTGTTTTCCCAGTGACAAGACCCTTTGAAAGTAGAAGACAGAAAACAACATTGTTCAACCTCCCAGGGCAGAGGGTAATATGGAAATTTGACAGTTGATATGCAGGGACAAACAAACTCTGGGTAGAAAAGTGAAGCTGAAGTCTGGGTTTATTAATAGCACTCAGATTCCGGAGCTCACCTAAATTCTTAGCAAACTTGCTATATGGAATTCCATTGAGCATATAATTTGGAATAGAAAATACTTGTACTTTTATACAAGTGTTTTGTTTCATATTAAATAGCTAGTAAGATACATTCAGTAAAGAAGGACCAGATGCTTGGAATAGATTAAAACACGGACTCAGAAGTTCCTTCTAAGGAGCTACAGGAAAGGAGATGGGAATGTGGGAGGCAGTGAACCGATCTCTAGTTTTAAAAGCTCATGTTCAAAGCTTGGCTTTTTATCTATTAAGGCAGTGAGTAGGGATAGTGGGAATGCTGTTGAGCTTTGAAGATTTCTTTCTTTTTTTTTTTTTGGGTCCGGTCGTGGGGCCTGAACTCTGGGCCTGGGCACTGTCCCTAAGCTCTTCAGCTCAAGGCTACCACTTGAGCCACAGCACCACTTCCGGTTTTTTTCTTTTTGCTTATGTGGTGCTGAGGAATGGAACCCAGGGCTTCAGGCATGAAAGGCAAGCGCTCTACCACTGAGCCACCTTCCCAGCCCCGAGCTTTGAAGATTTCTGAACAAGGATTAACCTGTCAGTGAGAATTAAGAAAGTAGACTTAATAGGTTACCTCCAATTCAGAACAGGGGCTGGAAATTAATGGTGTAAAGTTATGTCATTTATTAAAGGCGGCAACAAGGCTTCTTCCACTCTTGCTCCTAAAAAGAGAATATGTTTTATATGATAGTGATAAAAGCAGTTTGGGTTTCCTAGAGCAGAGAAAAGTAACGTTTTTCTCCAGACCACTGCAAGCTATTGTATAGAAATATGAAGAGTTTTAAAAGCTCTATGTCATCAGTTAATATGCTCAATCACTGTGAACACTTAGATTTTACCATGTCTCTCAGATGTTGGCTCCAGGAGCCCTGAGAAGTTTATCTTAGAGGAGTACTTCAGGATAGCTGTCTGAATAGAGTTTTGTTTTTCTCATTAAACAGGCTGGCTTTGGTTATGGACTGCCCATATCACGTCTTTATGCCCAGTACTTCCAAGGAGACCTAAAGCTATATTCCTTAGAGGGCTATGGTACAGATGCAGTTATCTACATTAAGGTAATAACTATAGACTTCTTGACTATATTGTTTCTTTTGATAATTAAGAAGGTGCTAATATTTAAATGTAATGACACATTTAATAAAAACAAAAACTTTTACATGGTATTCCACCATTTTAACAGTTGATTTCCCTTGGCTGTGGGGAAAGAAACATTCTTCACTGTATGATCAGGAATTATTGTTAATAGGAAGAAATTGGGATAAAGTGGGGAGTCATAGGGTTAGATATCACATAAATAATTTTCATGTGTCCGTAGGAGTGTACATTGATCTACTGATTTTTGAGGCACTGCTAAGGCTTTTTCTTTGTACGTGGATCTGGAGATTGTAGTATCATATTGTCTTTTACCACCAAATGCATAGTCCTTTGGAGTATTTCTGCAATTTTTTAAAGATGTCTTCTGATTCAGATTTGACAGAAGTTTCATGAGTTTTTTCATGAGTTTTTCTAAAGCATTCCTCTTAGTTTTTAAAGATATCCTCCTCTGTGTCTGTGTATGTTTGCACATATGTGTGGTTTTTACATAATATTTGATTATTTGTTACAATTATAGTGACGAGTAATTGAATAACAGTTCAGGGACAAATATAGGTGACTCTTGGGAAGTATATAGTTTATATGATAATAGCAGAAACACTTAGCATGGATAGTCACTGTATTTATGGAGTTGTCATTATATTTTTACAGGTTTGGAAAAGCCCTGGGCCTCATCACTGATTAAAAAGCAGTTTTATTTAGAGGCTGAAGTTTCTTATTTTGGCCACCAGATGGCACCTATTTCATAAGATGTGCTGAAAATGTATATGAGAAAAAAATAGTCTGAAGTTAAATTCTTTTTAAAATTTTGTTGTTAGTATTTTGTTTTGTGTTGTACTGGGACTTGAACTCATGGCCTGGACACTCTCCTTAGCTTTTTTGTTTAAGGCTGGTGCTCTGCCAGTTCTGACTTTTTGCTGGTCAGTTAAAGATGAGTTCATGGATTTGTCTGCCCGGGTTAGCTTTGAACTGTGGTCCTGAGATCTTAGCCTCCTGAGTATCTAGGATTAAAGGTGTGAGCCACTAGCACCCTGCATGAGAAGTTAAATTCTTCATTGGTAATATCCTACCCTTTCTCCCATTTACAATGTGATTTGTGAGGCACAGAAATACAGGGCAAAAATAATAAAATATTTTATTACCTAATGTAACATTTTGGTCTAGTTTGTAGATTTATGAAATTTTAGAATATTTTAAGAGAACATACAGGTGAAAAGTTTGTAGTTCCATTTTAGAAGATAAGAGGTCTTATATAATTACTATAATTATCAACAATAAAGACCTTAGCCATGTCTGGAGGTTATTTCTAGTTAAATATTGTCTGTATCTTGAGGGGAAATGCCAGTGGCCTAACATTAAAGACCTTACTTAGCCTTATCAGGAGATTTCTAGTTAAATATTGTCTGCATCTTAGGACAAATTCCATTGGCCTGAGGGCAAAGTTCTGAATATTCCTAAGTGGAAGAAGATAGAAGGACTATAGTTTATCTCAGGTTCCAGTGGTTTATAGAAAACTGAAAAAGAAGAATGAATTGATGATAATGTTAAATTGGAAACATGAAATTATGCAAGATGCAGAAATCACGTTTTATGACTAAAATTAGTGCCTTTAATGGCAGTAGAAGACAACACAGAGTCCGAAGGGTAAAGCAGCTAAGTGATAGTGCTTACCTTGCATGCTGAAGACTATGGTTTTAATTCTCAGCACTGCAAAAAAAAGGAACAAAGAAAACAAAATCAAACCAAGGGTGAAGAATTATGCAAGAGCCTAGATGCCTTAGACAGCTTTATATTTATTGATAGTCATATTGTATGGTAAGTGACAGTTAAAAAGCAGTATTTTTTCTACAGTCTTCATTAAATCTGTATGTTATTATTAAGATATGCATGTTAATTTTTTGTGCTTTTATACTTACCCTGTTTTTTCAAGGCTTTTTTTCACCTTTTGCAAATAAGAGGTATCCATGATTCATAAACTGGGTATGGAATTACCACAAGCAACAAACCCACTGTTCACATCAATCTGTAGTATTATGTGTAAATAGCACATTTCAAATACAAATCATATAGTGTGATGATTAGTAAGATTCAAATAGAATATCACTTAATTTATAGTTATCTTTTTTGCCATTGTACATTTTCTCAAATAATGAATTCTTAGAAATGTCAGACTTAAGGTGGGCTAGGTTGTACTTCCTATAATCCCAGCTACTTAAGTATAGGTTGGTAGGAGGATCTCAAGTATGCACCCACCTGGACAAGTATAGCATCATGATTCTGTCTCAAAAGCAAAATAGAAAAAAGGTTGGAATGTGGCCCAATTGGTGGCTCTGAGTTCATTCCACAGCACTGAAAAAACAAGACAACTAGATTTCGAGTTTCTGCTTTTTGTTTTCAGGCCCTGTCAACAGAATCAATTGAGAGACTCCCTGTGTACAACAGAGCAGCCTGGAAGCATTACAACACTAACCATGAGGCTGATGACTGGTGTGTTCCCAGCAGGGAGCCTAAAGATATGACCACGTTCCGCAGCGCCTAGGTGCACACCCAGGACCCTGGAAAACCTAATCATGGGTTTCCTTAAATTTGGATCTACATTGTTTTAAAAACTTTATGTGTCAGTTTCACAGTTAAGTCTTTGGGTAGAATAAATGGAAACTTAGGTTCCATTTGCACCTGCTCAACTGAAAGGATTATATCTATTTTATACTGATTTTGTCAATTAATTGAACATATTTTTAAACAACTGTTGTTTTAGCCAACTTTTCTCTTTATGATTGAACTGTGGATAGAGTCTTTGGGTTTCTATAGGAGACTATGGGTTTCTGTTTTTTGTTTTTGTTTCTTTGTAATAGTTTTCAGTGTATTTGCTAGAAACATTTTCTAAATAGCGATTACCTGGTTTAGAAATCTTGGAAGAGTTCTGTCATCTTTTATTAAGCATTCAATAAGGTTGTCTTCATGTATACCAGCAAAGTGGAACACAGTTGATGGTATAAGCCAGCTGCCTTTCAACATTCACAAACATTGTTTATCTCTGAAGTTAGTTGATTATATTCTAATCTTATTGTAATATGTTGTAATGGTTTAGTTTCCTATAAGTCTAAGCCAAGATCATGGGCAGTTTATTCTGAGTGTGCTTGTGATTATTGAAAGGGAAATTTTTATACTAAAAGCAAATAAACTAACAGCTACTGAAAGTATGTATAACAAATTGGGGGCAAAACTGAGCTAATTAATTCTTGAGATCAGTTGAGGGAGTAGTCTTTTTTTTTTTTTGCCGGTCATGGGGCCTGAACTCGGCCTGGGCACTGTCCCTCAGCTCTTCAGCTCAAGGCTAGCGCTCTACCACTGGAGCCACAGCGCCACTTCTGGCTTTTTCTGTTTATGTGGTGCTGAGGAATCGAACCTAGGGCCTCATGCTTGCAAGGCATGCACTCTACCGCTGAGCTACCTTCCCAGCCCTCTTTTTTTTTTTTTCCAGAAAAAAAAAAGGGTTTTCTGGGTCCTACTTTTGTCATACTGGAGGAGAATCTCCAGGGATAGAGTCCAGGGGTCAAATTTTAAAATTTTCTAGGTAAGGCTAATGCCTAGCCTAGTTGAGACCACTCTTATAGGGTATAAATATGCTACTACCTTTGCCAAAGTGACAGAGAAATCATTAGGTTTTGGTTCTTCTCACTTATCTAAAGGTCAGATTTCTAGATTCTAGGAGAGACAAATTGAATCTCAGGCTTGGTGCTATTAGAAGCCAGAGAAGGTGACTGTAGCGGAAAGTTGGTTAACCAAAGAGTCACTTTGTTTTAGTTTAAGTGGTGATGAAGAAAATATGTTTTCTAAAAGTATCTTGACTTCATTAACAGGGAAGAGTCAAGTTGGGCTGATTACAACAGTCCTTTGCATTTGTATGTTAATCTATACTCATATAAATGTGTTGAAATGGTATAACTTTATTGGTCTTCAAAATACAGAGCTATGGAGCAGGTGGTATTATCCTGGCTTTTACTCAGGGGGAACCAGAGTCACACAGAATGGAGCCAGAGCCCATATCTCTGTTGGTCACATTGGATAGCAAGTCCAGGGGACTACAAAGTTATTCCTTTATTTTCTTGGGAGGTAAGGTGATTTGACCTAGCAAACCTTTACTCTTGAAAGGATTTTTAGATTATCACTCTGTGCTACCAAAGTACCTTAAAAAAAAAAAAGCCCAACTACAAAAGCAAAAAGCTATAAGAGAAAAGGAGAACAGGAGGGGAATTAGTTCAATACTGGCTTTAAGAAATGAGGCTCCTTCCTGAGGCTGAGGAACTGCTGGCCCAGTGTTGCTTAGCTCAGCAGACCAAAAGTTAAAAAAGATACCTTATCCTACCTACTGTTCCTAATCATGGCTTTCTGAGAAAAGATAGAACATGTTAATGTGTGACTAATATTGGTTGAATATATTTCCATTTTAGCTTTAAACTAAATGTTCTTGCAACAGTGGCTTATTATTACATGATACATTGTATAGCTAACATAAACTTGATTTTTTTGTTTTGTTTTGTTTGTTTTGGTCATGGGACTTGAACTCTGGGCCTGGGCACTATCCCTCAGCTCTTCAACTCAAGACAAGCACTCTACCACTTGAGCCACAGCGCCACTTCTGATTTTTCTGAGTGGTTTACTGGAGTTCAGTCTCCTGAACCCAGTTTCCTGCCTGGGTTGGCTTTGAACTGGGATCCTAAGATCTCTGCCTCCTGAGTAGCTAGGATTAGAGATGTGACCCACAAACACCCGGCTTAAACTTGATGTTTTTATGAAATACTCTCCCTTCCAAAAAATTAAAGTTTTCAAGCCCCACAACCGACCAAAAAAAAAAAAAAAGAATCCCCAAAAATTAAAGTTTTTCTCTTTACATTTAAGAGCTAAGACATGTGTTTTCTAAAGAAAAGTGAATTATTTTGCTTTTAGCTTCTTTTTAAGATGTAACAGATTTTTCCCCCTCTTTATTAGGCCTTACATTGTTACTTTTTTTTTTTTTTTGGTTGGTCGTGGGGCCTGAACTCTGGGCCTGGACACTGTCCCTCAGCTCTTCAGCTCAAGGCTAGCGCCCTACCACTTGAGCCACAGCGCCACTTCCAGCTTTTTCTGCTTATATGGTGCTGAGGAATCGAACCCCAGGTCTCATAGATGCAAGGCAAGCACTCTACCACTGAGCCACCTTCCCAGCCCATGTAACAGATAATTAATTTTGTCATTTGTGACAATATAAAAGTGTATACAAAAATATTCTAGGAGAGCTTTTTCCTTGTTAATTTTAAGTCATTGAGCTACCTGAAAGATGTTTAGATTGTCACATTAGCTGTTTTTTCCATCAGCATTAATTTTATATAATGTAGATACAACAATGTTTTGGTGCCTGGTGTGGTGGTACATGTCTATCATTCAGCACTACAGAGGCTGAGGCTGGAGGATTGCTAATTCCTGGACAGTCTAGGTTTAATAACAATAACCCATTTCAACAACAACAAAAAAAACCCTAAAACTAAAAACATACAGAAAATTAAGAAGTAGAAACTAAGTGATTTTTTTAACTGCGGAATTTAATGGAATGTGCCAATATATTTTAGAAAGGTTAGCAAAATATTTTGTCCTCTACCTACTACTTTGCCCTGCCCTGGTTTGGTTTGCTGCCTTCATACCTAACACTGATCAGTTTGAATCACTGTGTACTGTGAAGTTGTTATATGACAATATTGGAATGAGAATCTACCATATTATTTTATAAAGTATGTCAATAAACTGAAAACATGAGTTAATTCATTTAATTAAAAAATCAAGTTGCATTAGGTTTGTAAGAATTATAATTAGATTTTTAAATAGGAGTTTCTTTCTTCCTCAATGTTCAATAGACTATAAACATTAAAAAATGTACCTTGCACTAAGTAGAACAATTTGGAACTTAGTTTTCTTTTTTAATTTATTTTATTTTATTGTTATGGTAAAGGTGATGTACACGGGGTTACAATTACATAACGTAATGAGTACATTTCTTTTTTTTTTGGTAGGTCATGGGGCTTGAACTCTGGGCCTGAGTGCTGTCCCTCAGCTCTTCAGCTCAGGGCTAGTGCTCTACCACTTGAGCTACAGCTCCACTTCCGGTTTTCTGGTGGTTTATTGGAGATAAGAGCTTCACGGACTTTCCTGTCCAGACTGGCTTTGATCCGAGATCCTCAGATCTCAGCCTCCTGAATAGCTAGTATTACAAGCGTGAGCCACCAGCACCCGGCAGTACATTTCTTTATGAACAGTGTCCCTTCTTCCCTTGTTTCCTCCCAGGTTTTCTCTCCTGACTCCCTCCTCAACAGTTGTATAGTTCATTTTCAATATACTGTCTAGTGAATATCACTGCTACATTTGTTTATCCTTTGTGCCACCATTTCTGTGCTCCCCCTTATCCTCCTCAAAACAGATACTTAGATACAAGACTTAGATACTTAGATTTCTAATGGGTATATCGTGGTGAGGAAATCAAGAGGTAAGGTTTATATGGTTAAAATATCCTAAATTCTCATTATCCAAACAATGTGGATGTTTTATTGCATAGACCTGTTGTGTGATTTTGAAAACGTGAATAATGTTCCAGTGTAAATTTAATCACCACTCCTGTCTGACTTTTACCGTTGAGTGTCAGAACTAAACTTCCTAGTCAAAGATAGATTTGATGTTTACCCAGGTGATAGGATATGGGCACTACAATTTGCCTTGGTTGTTGAGACAATTAGTTCTATAACAGAACTCTTTATTATTATTATTAAGTAGTACAAAGGGTTACAACTCCATAACTCAGGTTATGAGTGCAATGCTTCTTGGTCAATGTTATCCCCTTCCATTATTCTTCTATATTTCCCCCCTCCCACCTACCCTCAAGTTACATAGTTCATTTTTTACATAATGTACATTGAATATAATGACTGCATTTTCTCACTCTTCTTCTTCCATTCTTGTGCCCCCTTCTTTACTCAAACCCCAAAATATGCTTCCACTTCCTGGTATTCATTATACTAGTTGTTCAGAGGAGTTACATGTTTAGATTCCTCCCCTAAGTTTACCTTGTATGTAAATGTACTGATCCCTGTATATGTTATTATGCTGTATGTATATATTTTTATGTCATTTTTTAGATCTAGCTTCCACATATGAGAGAAAATAAGTGCCACTTGTCTCTTTGACTTTCCTCACTTAACACGATTTGTTCTAGGTCCATCCATTCCCTGTAAATAGCATAATATTCTTTCTAATGGATGAGTAAAATTCCATTGTGTATGTATCATATTCTCTTTTATTTTTCTTTTTTTGTTGGTCTTGGGGCTTGAATTTAGGACCTGGGTGCTGTCCTTGAGCCTTCTTGTACTCAAGACTAGAGCTTTACCACTTGAGCCACAGTACCACTTCTGTCTAAAATTTTCTGAGTAGTTTGCTGGAGATAAGAGTTTCACAGATTTCCTGCCCAGGCTTGCTTTGAACCATGATCCTCAGACCTGAGAAGCTAGGATTACAGGCCTCAGTCACTGGTGATCAGCTAAATACCATTTATTTTACTTTATTTTTTATTTTTATTTTTTTGCCGGTCGTGGGGCCTGAACTCTGGGCCTGGGCGCTGTCCCTCAGCTCTTCAGCCACTTGAGCCATAGTGCCACTTCCAGGAATAGAACCCAGGGCCTCATGCATGCAAGGCAAGCACTCTACCACTGAGCCACCTTCCCAGCCCCTAAATACCATATTTTTTTTATCTACTCATTTATTGTAGAACTGGGCTATTTATATAACTTGGCTATTGTGAATAGTGCACCAGTGAACATGGATGTGCAGGTATCTTTACTGTATCCTGATTTGTAATACTCTGGGTAGATGCCCAAAATTGGTATTGCTGGATCATAGTTACATGTTTAATTTTTTTTTCTTTTTTCTCTTTGTCAGTTGTGGGTCTTGAACTCTGGGCCTGGGCACTGTTCCTGAACTCTCAAGCTCAAGGCTAGTGTTCTACCACTTGAGCCACAGGGCCACCTCTGGTTTTCTAGTGGTTAATTGGAGATAAGAGTATTACAGACTTTCCTGCCCAGTCTGTCTCAGCCTCTTGAGTAGCTAGGATTACAGGCTAGAGCCACTGGCGCCTGGGTATGTTTAGTTTTTTGAAGAATCTCCAAGCTGCCTTTAAGAGTAGTTGTACTAGTTTACATTTTCACTAACAGTGTTATAGGGTTCCTTCCTCCCACATTCCTGAAAGAATTTGT